CTATTGTCATCTTCCAAACAGGAAACTGCTTCTTTTAACTTTTTCTATTTTCATTGTTTGATTGTAATTTTTTATCTGAATTTATAATTTTTTTATAACTGTTTCAGAGTGGGCTCGACATCAGCAAAATGATTATATATAAGAGAAGACAGGAGGCTAAACAGAGAAGAAGAGAAAAGAGGGCTGAGAGACGAGCAAAGAGGCAGGCTAAGAGAGAGGTGGGAACTGTTCAATAAAATATCAGTAACATTGATTATTTTAGTCAAAACTCAAGACTTCTCAAGCTGAATCACAGCTGTAGCTCTTTTATGTGTTTGGCGCCATTGTGTTCATAAACAATTACCCGGTACCRAAATTCTTTATATGAGGCAAGAACATAGAAATAACGCTCATCTAACTTCTCTGCAAATAAAATCTTTAAAATGTGTTTTAATGCACCCTTTATGTGTATCTTGAATGGTATTGTACTGTAAGGGGAAGTATGCTGTCAAAGACAGATTTCTGTCAYCATATTTCAGAGACGGGCACAAAAAGCAGCTAAGCAGCTTTCTGGACCACCGGAGTTTTCTGTTGAGGAGGGCTGCTGGAAGGACACATGCATAGATGAGACTATYGCACAGCAGGAGGAACCAGGCTGGACTGAGAGGGAGAACGGGACAGTGTTTGTGATCCCAACCACTCCCAGAAGCCCTGACGGTCAGTCCAGATGGGAGTATCTTAAAGGAGGCGACCCAGACTGCAGCAGTTTAGACTGGATGTCAGAGGACCAGGACGGGGACACCACCACTCTGGGCTCCAGCACTGAGGACACCCTGAGTCATGACCTGGAGCGAGTCTCTCTTGGGTCTCTGGGCAAGTGGACCTGGGACATTCACTCCATTATCCTTGACCTCTCCACAACCAACTTCATCGACATTGTGGCTATAAAGACTATGAAAAACGTGAGTAAAGCAACAAGCGTGGCAGAAAACGTCTCAAATGTGCAGACTCCTTGATAGTTAATAAAATCATATACTTTTGAATCAGTTACACTTAAAGTTATTTTTAACAATAAGTTTATAATAATCTAGAATGTTTTAAAAGCAACATGGATGGTTTAGGAGATTTTACAGAAGATATTAGTTGTGTTTTCATAAACAAACATTTTGCACTCCAACTTCTAAATGTTAAAGCCGATTGATCAAGCAAAATCAGCATCACATCTTATGTTTTTGTCAGTTTTCTTTTCAGAGAAGCAGTGTGAGCTTTTAATAACCACATGGACAGTAACTTAAAATAACTCGGATGATAAAGTTTGTGTGAAGTATTCAATATCTGTTGTGTTAACAGATTTTCCAGGATTTCAGTGAAATTGACGTGGATATCTACATCGCTGGCTGTCAAGGTGAGTGAAAATATTCTCCTTTTCTCATGCTGCGCTGCTAAAATATTCCTCTTGTTGGCAGCGTGTTGCTCATGAACTCTTTTCTCCTCAGCGTCTGTGGTGGAACAGCTGGAGCACGGGGACTTCTTCTCAAAGGCAATAACAAAACAGCACCTCTTTGCTTCCGTTCAYGACGCTGTGCTCTTCTGTCTCAACCACCGTGGAGCCACTTCTGTCCCCAGATACGACCCAACACGGGTGAGTTTGTGAAGCTGATATTCAGGTCCACAACTGATACAGAAAGGACACACTGAGTTCACAAATTATCTGGCAGTTACTGGAAAAATAATGAAGGTTAGCAGGATCAAAAAATCTAAAGAAAAATAAGTAATTTCCTGTATTTTAATTAAGCTGATTTTYTGCTTTTTACAGGACCTAAACAACAGCACAACATTTTAGAGCCTTCAGCATCTTGTCAAAGGATCATCACAAGGTGATTTTCTGTCAGTTAAATGCTGAATGAAGGTTAAACCAAAAAAGAATTACTGACATTTTTATCTATACTTTTCTTTTGGTGTGTTTCTTTGTTTTGCGTTTTCTTGAAGTGATATTTATACACTGATTTATTAAAAAAATGACAAACAGTGAAAAAAATTAGCTTAATTTAATTTTATTTGGTGAAGAAACGAGAGTGTGCACTTGAAACAATCACTTGATAAATAAACAAAAAGGAATCTGGACATCTTGTGCATTTTAATTCGTTGTGCATTCATACAACTGAAGGAACAAAGGCAAGRCATCATGCATCACACTCAGAGTGTGAGCTTCTTTTGGTAATGGCAGCCATCGCAGTATTCTAGTGCAAACAGTTTTCTCACAGCAACAGCAAAATGTGTTGAGAAAAAGTGTTACGACACGGCTCAGCGTAAGCCGGGACGTAACACAACATAAGCATGTTATGTTACGACATAACATAAAGCATGCAAAGATGTGTGTTAATTTCTGTTTGGATCATTTAGGGAAATCTAGTGGCAGAAAAATAATATGAGTGTATAAGGAATCTGTTTCTTGAAAACCTCATTTCTCCTACACAAATTGAGAGGGGAACAATAATCTGCTTGTAATGTCACATTTTGCCACTAGATGTCACTAAAACCCCACATTAACAGTTTTAAATCACAACTCATTGGGATACGTTCTAGTGCAAGACTCCTAAAACTGGAAATAAGGTTAAAACTGTTTATTTTAAAAATGTATCTAAAAGCATCTATTTTTTTTACTTTTTTTTTTTCAAAAATCCACTGTGRCCTCATTCCCTGAAATCTTGTATCTACAAACCAGCCACAGAGGATGATAACTAAAATGTTGTGCAGAGGACGGAGGAAGACTAGGAAGACGTTTTTATCTTTTTTTACATTTGTAATTATTTGGTGTTTGAGCTACAAATCTTGATGAATTCTGGAACTGTGTGTTTCTGGGTTCTGAGCCGATTCTTCATCATTTTCATCTCCAGGCAGCTGGGACACCAGCTGTTGGTAGCGAGCCTGCCGCTGGTAATCCGGATCAACGTTGATCCATTTATTGGCAATCCACTTTGTGCCAYGGGTGACCACGCAGCCTCCGTGCAGAGCATACTCATCCTGCTCTCCGACCCAACCTAAAGAGAAACATTTTTAAAAAAGGTGTTAAATTTAAATGTGCAGCTCATATGATTACTTTGACGGAACAGATTAATTAAAAGATGGGAAATGTTCTAGTGAAAARGTAGCCAAAGGTCAAAGAAAAGACCCTAAGAAAGCCTGAAGACTATTAATCAAGATCACTTTAAAAAAATTTAATGAAAGTCTGACTGCCTATAGATTAAAAAAACATAATAAAATCAGAAGTGATTCAAATGCATGGGTGATTTAAAACTTTTGAAGAATTCTGTAGTTTACATATATTTGTTTTCAACAACAAAGCTGAAAAGCCAACGTCACAAACTGTTTTTCTGTGTGTTATATACAGTATTTATAACCATCTTTAAAAATCTGGATTCCGAAGACTCTGTGGCCAAAACAATGTATAAACATCAGTAAACTCAAAAATCAAAAGTGGTTTTTCTAGCAGAGAATGCTTTAAATGCAGCCAATTCAAAACACAGTTTATTAAAAGATTACACTTACAAAAGATTTGTGCTTATGTCATTAACAAGGTTAATAATTACTACTTTAAAGATAGACATAACACATTCAATTCATCAATACTGCTTGATACCGGTACATGGTAAAAAGAGGTGTTTAACTTCATATTAAAATGGCTAAATTTACTGTGTGTTACCTAACTTTTCCTTTTTGTCACTTAAGGTTCTCCTGAGAAATGTTTAATGCTAAAAAAYGCTCAGATGAAAAAGGAAAGAGTAATATAGATGAACAGTAGGACAAAAAAAAAGATAGGCTCAATTTGGCAGGAAATGAGTAACTTGCTCCTTTTAATTGAATGCATTGGTGATTTATTAAGTCCTTACAGCTTAAATAACAACCAGAATATGATATATTTACTATCTTATTGTAAGGTACTGCTGGTACTAAGATTTTTTTTGTTTCTTTAGATAATTACAACCAAAATAAAAAGACAGAAATGATCTAAATGAAATAAAATGCCTGCTATTCTCTAATTATTATTACAATAAATGAATGAAACACAAATATTTTGAGTGAATCGAGATATTTAGTTATTGATACAGACAAACAAACACACAATCGGTCTGCCCTTCCCTTTCCTATCATTAAGCTTTTGATAGTTATCATTTTTGCAACATTATCATTATGATTAACCTACTGAAAGGAATTGTGTACGAGTGCCCAAATCAGTCATTTATTCACACACATATAAAGATTATCACAGCACTGTTTCATCCCGTCCAAGAAAACAAAAATGGTCTCCAACATGAGACATCAAACCTTGGTCAAACCCTGAACATGATGATATACCCCTAAAACAGTTCTACATTTTCTGAAATAAAAACACTGTTTATACTGCTGGAGCAAGCGTATWTTAAAAAGGGGACTTGTTGATTCACCAACTGGTCAAAGTAAATGATTACAGCTGATCACAAAATATACAATACTGTATAAGACTGTATTGTATAATTTGTATATAAAATTCAATCAGCCACAAAATATCCAACACTACCTTTTCCATCAGAGAGGTAGTTGTACCAGAAAACAGCTGTCCCTGTGGTGGGCTTCACTCTCAGGTTACTCTTATCACAGTTTCTTCTGGTGTCCATGAGATCCACGTCGTTCTGTATGAGAGACTGAGACACACACTCCGACTAAGTGACCCAGTTCCCTCGATGTCGGCCACATCAACTCACCGACAGACAAGTGAGTTCACACGGACGTGAAAGACATGCACACTGGGTTCACGACACTTTCGCAACACTCTTCGCACACATTTACGCACCACTTCATCATAGGTCCTGTTGTCTGCCACAGGGAATGCGGTCTCCCCGCCCCCATCAACAGAGTTCAGGTAGAAGAGAACTGTGATGTACCTAAGTGTGCAACATAGGTTTAAATTGACACACACATGTATGGTGCAAAGACACGAGCACGCACGTAAACAAACGCTTAGCAAAACGAGTGGCGAGCACAGAAACGGCTCGGCGAGGAGCTTCAGTGCACAGATCAGTGATGGCGTCGGACGGATGAGTTCACACCGAAACACACACAGAAATGTTTATATGTTTCGATACGTGAAAGTTAGAGTCAACGCCTCACCTGCACGACGTCTCGAAAGGCGTGGAGGTATTGGCCGCGAGGCGTGTGTGTGAACACGCTGTCTCGGGGTAGACAGGCCCGCTGTCTTGGTGGGCGTGGTAGTGCCCCCCCTCCTCATAACGAACCACCTGAAGTGGTTCACTGAGTTCCACAAGTGCGGACGGCATTCGAGTGAGGYGAGTCACCCTTTTGTAGAGAAGCAGATGGATTTTTCAGACAAAAAAACAGGAAGAAAAAAACATTGAATCTTGATGAAGTCTTCCTCACCTTTGCTTAATTTCTTGGAGAACCTGGTGAGCTCCTTTGCCCTGATACAACCAGGTGTGCCTGCTGTTCCTCACCAGCTGGCTCCTCTTCACCCCTTGCTGCAGCAGAAAGCGCTGGAAGGCATCACCGCTGAGGAGCCGGTACTCCTCAAGGCTCAGCAAACCTATCTCACAAACAAGATCACATGAKTGATACTTATATCTGCAGAAACATGAATTAAACACATCTCCACCAGTCGTCAGTTGAAGTTTCGTTAACATTCATCTCATTTCATCTAGTGGTTCCTAAAACATTTTTGCTAACAGACAAATTCCAATGGCTAAAATTTAAGCAAAGATCTAACATATTTGGAGGTTGTTTTGAGAAATACTAATTACAACAAATTTTAGGACAATATCTATAAAACATACAGTTTTAACTATTTCTGTATTTTAGGAGTGGCAGCCATCTTGAATTAGGGTTGCTCCAAAAGTCAGTTGTAGATGTGGATCCAAAAATTACTTACTGTATGCGTCTAGAAAATTTATGGTTAATAAACCGTTTTGGTAACAGTCACACAAACAATTAAACTCAAAACTATCTTGTACAAACACTGTAAAAATAACACATTGAGAATAAAATTTTACACATTTGTAACTGAGTTTTTTTTTTCAAAGTTGTGAATTTGCAAATCATTTCACTGGCACTAACAAAACCTGCTTAGAGTTCACAGTGAAAAGTTTGCTTAGATCTATTAAACAACCTTTAAAAACACAAGGAGCTCTAAAGTTTGTCATGAATCAGATTTTTTTTTATCACTTGTAAGCTTGTTTTGAAAATCCACATGAAAAATGGTTCACACCAATGAATGATCTTGAAGTAATTTATAACACACAACAATATAACAAAAGTCGAGTTGTTTTCTTACCGTTATTGTCCTTGTCAGCCTTGAGCCCGGCGTAAATTTTTCGTAGATTCTCCGGAGTGAGCCAGATGCCATCCCTCACCCGAGAATGAGTCAATATCTTAGAGGCACAGTAGTAAAGGCAGGATGAGTAAACGTTGTATTGAGGGGAAAAATACTTGATGTTACTCATGCTGCAATCCACAAACGGGCACAGACCTCTTGAAGCTGCAGTTGTCCATCTTGGTTAATATCAAGAAGGTTAAATATCTCCTCTGGGCTGAGATTGAGCTCTTTGGCCAGTTCTTCTTGACCTTCTTGGACCATCAGCTGACTCTCCATCAGACCCTTCAGCTGGGCCAGCTGCATCACCACACGGCACTCATCAGCGGACAAAAACCCAGGGATCTCTGCATAACAACAACAACAACAATAACACACACACAATAAACAATAAAAGAAAAACTTCCTGCTCATCATACAAAGTAATTTCTGTCCCTAATGCCTGCATGCAAGAGTAGATTTAAACAGGTAAAGTTAAAMTAAATTAGCCATTAAGGGCTCAGCCACTCAAACATGTGACCCTGAAGGAAAATACTGTTAAATACATAACAAATAAATAAAAACATAACAAACAGGGTGGAGCAGAAGGGAAACCCAGAAAGTTAAAACCCAAATTTTACTGTACATAATTTTACTTAATTATTCGGCACTGTTGCCTTTTCACCGCCTGACTTGGGTCAAACATTTTGTCAATCTTCAAGCTTCTCACAGTAATTTGCTGGGATTTTGGCCTGTTTCTCCTGAAAGCACTGATCTGAGTCAGAGCTATGTTAGTTTTTATCAGAAGACAAAAATCAGTTTGGCCTTCAGAGACAACATTTTATTTTGCCCAGTAGGATGATTTTAATTCAGTGAAAGGGACTGAAGAACCACACATTTAACTGAAACATGAACATATGCCACCTGGAGATATCATCGGCAAAAATTCAATATGTCTGCCAACTTGTGGCTAACATTTTGAAATGTTTGTCTTTCCTTTCTTTTTAAAWTTTTTTAGGGGAAAAAAGCCTACCATAATTTGCATGACTAGGCTATAAAGTTAGCAACATTAATCACTAGGATGTTTTTTGAGTTTTGATTTTAAGGTAAAATATCACCTTAAAATGGTTTAACCTGCCATGTTTGGTGTCCTTTTGTTCAGCACACCATCCCATGTAAACTTGAAGTTTTTATTTTTATTTTTTACTTTTGACCAACACATACCTCAAATCACACAAAAATCATAAAAGTCTGAGTAGAAAAAAATATATAATTTTTAATCTGTTAACCTGCCAAGAAATAGCGTCAGCCTATTAAAAACACAAGATTAAGGTGGTGTTCTCTGTTGTAAACTGATAAAATGCAGCCTAGTTTTATTTTTGTCAGATGACATCAGCGGCCATATTGACACGAATCAAGGGCCGCTTTTGGCCCAGGCTCCATACTTTTGTTTTCCTTACCAAACAGCAGTGGTTTCAGGCTCAGAGTCCGCATCTCGTGCACCTTGCCCGGCACCAGTGACACCTTCTGCACGTGTCCCACCTGAGAAATAAATCAGTGTTTTCTTTCTTTGCGTCACAGAGAGCTGGGAGAACCGGTCCAACCCACTGACTCACTCACCCTGATTCCCTCGAGTCTCGTCAGCGAAACGTCGCGCGTAAAGTCGGGTTTGGACGGCGCCGGACGTCTCGAGCCCGCGGCACCGGCGGCGGCGGCGGGGCGCTGGAGGAGGCGGCCGTCGCTGGGAGGAGCCGCGTCACGACCCCGGCCCGCGTCCTCCTGCCCGCTGCTGTAGTGCACGTAGAACAGCAGCGCTATGACATTGATGATGTAGACGTGAAAAAACACCATCACCAACACGAAGTACGAGCGGGAGCACACGCTGCTCTTGGGGCCGGGGAGGCGATCGCACGGCGGCCGGAGCTCGACATTCCCGCCCCGGCCAGACGGAGCCAGGTCCTCGGCGTCCGCGGTCTCCTGGGTGTCCGTCATTCTGTGGAGGTTTAAAGAGCTGACGGCTCCTTCGCAGCTGAAGCCATCAAGAGATTAAAAAAAATAAAATAAGCTGAAACGCGCTTCTCTTGCAGAAAAGTAGATGATGCTGGGTAGCGCTGAGTTTAATTTGAAAAAGGATCAGGGAATCCTTAGAAATGTCTCATCGGGTCAGTTTAYCCCTCATAAGTGAAGTCCAGTTCAACCAGAAAGTGTGTGATTATTCTCTGCGCTGCAGGTTCGGATGGCTCGGTTTACTGCAGCAGCCAGCAGCGCACTGCGCATCCGAACCCACGGCGGAAACACTATCCCTTAAACCTGACCCGAAACCAAACCAGAATAGGACTGAAATCGTAAAAAAATCAAAACAAAACGAGAAGTTGAATGGAAAAACAACAAAACCAGGGTGCGTTTTAGCAGATGATCTGGTCCGCTGCTGACAGAAACAGTCTGTCAGGACGATGCTGACCTCTGGCGAGCCAAAGCAACATCACCATCCCATCAGTCAGTAACTGGCGAAGAAGGAAATATGATATTAAACCAAAATACAAAACACACGTATAAATAAATGACACAATGAAGTATTTCTTGTAAAGAAATGCACTAAAACACCTGGAAAATTGTTAGATTTATCTTATAAAAACAAAATAATTTTTAATTTCATGACAGCATCACATCTTAAAGTTAGGACAGGGTATTTTTTAATCATTGAAGCACCCCCTCTTCTTTTATCAAAAGTCTTTATTTTATTTGACCAGTCAAATCTCATTGATATACATCTGTTTTACAACAGAGGCCTGATCCTGTCCAACCTAGCGTGATTGGTTTTGGGGGGTTTGTCTGAGGAAACCAAAGCACCTGGAGAAAACCCATGCAAGCACGAGAAGAACATGCAAACTATTCACTAAAAATTAAAACCCAGGCCCTTCTTCCTGTGAGCCAACAGTGCTAACCACTGATCCATCATGCTGCCTAAAGGGTTATGAACTGAAGAGACTATGTCAGAGTTTTTGAAGGGGATTGCTGTCCCTTTCTTGGATTCAAACTTTTTAGCAGTCCTGGATTTTYTTTGTCAATGTTTTTTCCATGAAGCACCAAATGATTTTAATTGGTGAGCTGCCTCCAAATACTACATCCTAACTGCTGAAGTTCACTCTCATCAGTTGCATGATGAAAATGGCATCATTTTGTTTGCAGCTTCGAGTCTTCCGTCCCTTTTTGTCACAACCCTCCATGTGGGAACATATTGTGTAATTTGTCAGAGGTTTGTGGGCATGTTGGTTTATGCTGAAAGCAATTGGATGTTGCATTTCAATTCAATAAAAAATATGTGACCCATCACATCGAAATGAGGATTAAGTCAAATTTGGTCAAAATGACCTAATCGTATTTTCAGATTC